GAGAAACAGAACAAACTTCACTCTTTGGTAAAGCACTAACAGTTTTTCTTATGTCATTTTTTCTTATCAACAACAGATATTAAGAAAGGTACAATGGAGCAGAAGAAAAAATATATAATACATGCATATAACAAAGACACAAATATGTGTAATATTAAAACATATATAGTTGAGGTAAAACTGGAACATATATAGTTGAGGTAAAACTGGAAAAATACACCAAAAATTCTGTTGTTTTCTGAGTTTCTATCATAAATCACAGCAGATCTGTAAATATTAGCCAGTGCATTATTTAAAAGGAATCACAAATTATAATTTAAAATGTTTACAACTTACTCATCTCAAGGTATTATTCTCATATATCCTCTAAACAAACACTAATTGATTTTATACTGTATAAAGAAATACAATTCATAGAAATATTTACAGAAAAACTACACTATGTATATACCCTCATTTTCCCACTAGGTGTACAAGTTGTATCACTCAGAACCAAAGTGCAACTTAATCATCAAACATGGTTTATTTTCTGTTCATATTAATCTCCAGATTTGCTTAATATCATAATCACATCAGGATATAATTTAGAATTACAATTGTAAAGAAACTATCAAGCCAATATGTGGGCACAATTCAACTAGTCAGAACAAAGTGAATTAATATAGTCAGAATGTATCACTTTCCAATTTGGAAAAGCAATATGAAACAAATCACAAGATAAACTTGTGACCAAAAGTGTGACAGGAATGTCTTACGATGCATATGATTTAAGATTGCTACTATGACTCATAGATTTGGTCTTTAGTAACTACTTTTATTTGTAGTTTTGATAGCACTGTATTTCATAAAACTATATTATAACATCATTAAAAGATAATATAAACAGAAAATACATACCAAGTGATTAATTTTTAAGAGTCAGTTTATAATTTCCCAAGGAGCTATATTGAATTTTAAAGATTTAAAGAAATGATTTTCCCCCTTTACTACTGATTTTTAGAAGCCAATGTCCTTTTAACTCACCGGTATTAGTGAAAGCTGATCTTTCAGAATTTGCTCACTGGCAATAAATATCTCTTGATTCTTATCATATATGAGAGAAAAATGAATATTTTACTTTCAAGAGGAAGCTTTCATAAAAAAACTGTGTGTCTGAGACAAATACAAGCGGCTACATTACCCACTGAAAATACTTGAATAACTATTGTAAATACTATTTTGAAGGCCTATTTGCTAATTTTATGCTAGGAAAAAATCCTAAAGAAAATATTTTAATTTTGTCAAAGTAGAGAATGTGGTAGATATTTAATGCTCTAGAAATACTGCTTTTTATAAATTGCTTAACACATTAACTTTTTATAAAATCTCTGATATTCGATTATTACCCACGTGCAGAACAAAAACTTCCATCATCACTGATTTTAATCTGACAAGGAAAAAATAAAATCTGTACTAGTAGCTAAAGATACACACTCTAGACCAGAATTGCCCCTCATTAAAACCAGGACACTGGGTCCATCATGCTAGTAATCTGTGGTTGCAAGCAAACACAATTATTAACGCATTTTATTCAAAGGTAAACAGCTGCTTTTCCCAGTATGTAAGAAAATGTAGTCTGAGAACAAGTTGTACAAGATTTGAAAACTAAAAAGCCTCACTGTCAAACAACTATGTCAACACCATCACCAACAGGGAAATGAAAATCAAAACCACAATGTGTTATCATTTTAGCCCAGTTAACACAGTTTTTATGAAAAAAACAAAAAAATAATAATAATGAGTGTTAAGGACGATGTAGAAAAACAAAAACTCTTACACACTGTTGGTAGGGATGTGAATTACTACAGTCATTATAGCAAACAGTAAAGAGGTTCCTGCAAAAAAATAAAAATATAACTGCTGTGTGACCCATCATTCCCACTGGTAGAGATGTGCCTAGGACATTTTATTTTTTGGTACCAGGGATTGAATTCAGGACCTTGCGCTCGCCAGTGTCCCTGAGCCATCTCCCTGACCATGTAGACACGTATCTAAAGGAAGAGAAACCAGTATGCCTGCAATTCTATGTTCACTGCTACACTACTCACAACAACCAAGACATGGAATCAATCTACATGCTCCGCAAAAGTTACGTGGAGTTTTGAAATTGGGGTGTATATCCACAATTGAATACCATGGATATTCAGGAAAAAAATGAAATCCTGGAGTCTAAGGCAATATGGATGAAACTGAAAGAAATTATGCAAAGAGAAATATACCAGAAACAAAATGATACTCACATGATTTCACTCATATATGTGTCTAAAAACCTTGATCTCATGAAATCAGAGACATCAAGTATAATCACCCTTGTGGACCCTTATACAAGGGATACCTATATCTCACTACACCCCTTAAATATGTACTATTGTATATCAATTCAAAAGAAAATAAAACAAATGTCAAGAAATATTTATCTTAATGTTGCACGATAGCCGCCTCTACTGTCTTAGCACCCACACTCCTATTTTCCTTAGCTCGTTAACCCAGTGTTAAGATCACTTCACAAATGTTATGATTACAAAGAAAAATGACACATTTCTTTAGAAAATCCAAAGCTTTTCTATGTTCTCTACTGTTCTGCTGCATTAGCAATGACGCTGCTTTCTTTTGGCTTCAATGACCTATGTGTAAGTATGAATTTCTTCTTATTCAACTGATTTCCTTTTTTCTTCCTTAATGTCTACTTGGGCAATTAGATCTTAGCCTCTCCTCTATGCTCTCCATTATCTATTCTTCAACTCCTACAACCTGCATATGCTGATGATTCCCAAATCTGTGTTAAAAAATTCCAGTTATCTTGAAGTTTCAACCAAGCAATGTCCAAGCAATATCCAAAAATTTCCATTATAGCAATATGAAATGAGAATGCAGACAAGGCACTGGAGAGTGAAGGGAAGATAGAATGTTCTAAGCTTTAAGGGATCCACTGTGCCAGGTTTAAACTCAGTTTATGGGGCCAGGGAGGTAGTTCAGTGGACTAGGCACTGGCCTGGCAAGCAAACCAGTGCCACATGCTATGTTGGCCCCGCCTCAGATGTGCTCAGAAGGCCACTGAAAACTGGGCCTGCAAACCCAGTGCTGGGGAGGCTGAAACAGGAGGATCACTACAAGTCCAACCTGCATAGTGAGATCCTGTACCAAATACATAAAATTTTAAAAATAAAAATACTAAAGACAGTTTATAAAAAGGTTTCAGTGCAAAAGGAAAGTATGATATTAATTCTAGAACCCAAGAGATCAATGTAACCAGAATAATGAATTTAGGAAAGAAATACTGAGACTGAAAAAAACTAAATAAAATTAAGAAGGGCATAGTCCTAACAGCCTGGCCAAGCGTGTACATGAATTCTATATAATAACCTTTTACCAGGAGACTTTACATAGTATAATGCAGTGAGATTTGACAGTCATTTGAAAAAAGGATTGAAAGAAGAGATTGAAAAAACCATTTCAGGTGTCACACATCTGAGATAGGGTGATGACAGTGGAAATTTTAAAAGTTGTGTAATAGAAGAGAACACTATCATTAAATGAAACATGCCGAGAAACTTTAGGCAATAAGAATGTTATTATCAAAAGAAGAATGTAATGACAGTTTCCTTAACTTGAAAAAATTTAAGACTTTCATTATATAAGTTCAAATTTCTTTCTCTTGAAATATTTCTTGCATCATTAAGTTTTTTCTTTGTTGAGACATAAGTTTATTATTATTTTGGAAAAAATACAATAAATGTTACTTCTATTTGACATACCAAATTAACAAAGAATGTTAATGAAAACATTATGCTATTTTTATGAACTTTGAACATTCATAAAACAATGTAATTTTAGATACAGATGGCACAACTCACTGAATACATTAATAGTAAATAATGCATCTCAAAACAAGCTTTCTGTTTTGACAACCCTTACTCATACTTCTAGTGCTTTGAGATCACAGTAGAAGACATACTGAAGTATTGAAAGAGAACTCTTTACCCAGAATTTTCATCCTGTGTATTATATGCCATTTTCTATTTTTGTAAAGTACTATTTTGTGTCAGGAGAGATACTGCATCGTGTGTGTACATGCGTGCATGCGTGCGTGTGTGTGTATTTCTTTACTATGCATGGATTACAATGAAAAACTCAATGTTCATCACAATGAAAATATTCTTACAGATTTGGTTATTTTCAGTTCATACGTTTGTTATTCTGTAATTTAATAGCTACTGAAACACACAATATGTCAAATTTAGTTATTACAGTATGTCAAAAGCTTAATACTAATACCTCCTAATATTAGTACCATCACTCCCTTTTGCTTAGAAATAGAATTGACTTTGCAAACAATTTCTATGAAGTGCATGTGTTCTTAAGTGAAGAGTTATGACTCCCAAAAAATGATTCAGTACTTACCATACTCAAACTGACGGAAGTATTTGCTTTTGGTACTGGGTGATTATACAGTGATTTGAGTGTTTCATTCAAATCATTTTCCTTGAATCAAGAAAAGTATATTGAATAAGTAAGATACATACCAAGCAAACAACCAAAAATACTCTTGTATATTACCAGTGGGAACATAAAATGCTACAGGCACTATGGAAAATGGTATGGCTATTTAAAAAAAAAAAAAAAGACAAAAACAATTACTGCATTGTCCAGAATTTATATTTGTAGACATACTAAAACACCTGAACAAGAACTAGAAGTGATATTATTACAGCCATCTTCTGCAGAAGCACTGTTCACAGTAGTCAAAAGGTGGCTGCAACCTAAGTGTCCACCAATAGATGAATAATTTATAATATATTCCTATAAGAGATTATTATTCAGAATTATAAAGGAACTTCTAATGTGTCCATTAATATGAGAATCTAGAAGACATTTTGACAACTAAAGTAAACCAGTCACATAAGGACACTGTGGTTCCACTTGTGTCAGGGACACAGGCTCTTACACACAGCCCAGCGATGGCTGGCATGGAAGAGGAAGAGCAGCAAACGGCTATGTGTGATGGGGACAGAATGCCAACCCAAAGCCGAAAAGTTCTAGAGATGAGTGGTACTGACATTCGCAGAGCAATGTGGATGCACTCACTGACAAAACAACTCACACTTACAATGGTTCAAGGGCTAAGCTGTATGCTATGTGTATTTTAACACTATAAATATAAGAGAGAAATAGCATAGCTTACCAATTCCTTAGCCAAGTAATCTGCCAGAGTATTTAGTAGCTTGTAGTATACTTCAAACCATGGCAGGTAACTGTAAAATTATATATA